TCTCTAACCCAATATCTCCAGCAAATTGAAAAAGAACAGCAAGAAAACCTGACACCCTCTAAAAAAACTGAAATTATAAAAACAAGAGCAGAAATAAATGAAATAGAAAACAGAAAAACAATTGACTCCTGGGTTTTTGCTGGAGTCTGCCTACAAAGTATATCTGTTGTCCCCTCTGAGCTTGAACTCAAAAGATGAGATGCAGAATGAAGTCAGGCTTGAAGTATTCCCACAGATAGAGAGAAAAATACTCATTTGTGGGCTGGATCCAGCTGTGCCTGAAGTCAGCTCTATCTTGGAATCAGGAGACATGTCAGAAATTCCTTCTGAGGAGAGCATTTGCCCTGGGATAAAGCTGAGAAGGCAAGAAGAGATAGGGAAGAAGGACAAATGGAGATGGGAAACACAGGGAGGGGGAGGGAGGGTGCTGCGACATTGGGAGGACTGTAATCAGTGTCACAAAACAAAATGTATGTAAGTTGTCAACAGAAAAACAATTTTCTCTCAAGCTTTCACTCGAATCCCAATAAAAATTTCAAAAACTGAGCAGGGGAAAAGTGTGAATTATTGCCTCATATTATTATCTAATAAGAGATATTAAATAAGAAGAAGGAAGACCCTCTGTGTTTAGGCAATTTTGGCTGAGTCTTGCTCATTTGCATCAAGAAATCAAAAGGGCCAGAACTCACACCTGGGTCTTTTAGTGTCTTCTGGAATCCACAACTTGAGGCTCCAATGTGGGTCCTTAACAAGCCAGACTGCATGCCTTTCAACCATTCCTTCCAACACTCAGCGAATCTGCTTTGGGTAAAAGCCAGGGTTCTCTCCCCGCTGCCTCACGGCCACTGCACACAACATGCTCAATGAATATGAGATTGATTGCTATCTAATTAATTAATCAAAATTCAAAGAGTGAAATTAAATTAGGCATAGCTTATCACAGAGGCAGGAAGCAGAGAGATGACCAGATTTGTATCAGGGAAATAAAAAGTTATTGATTGTCTGCAAGGCTCTGTTTCCAGAGTTCCTCCCGGTTTTGAATGCTCACCTGAGGGGTGATAAGAATAACATCTCCCCCTCCTGAGACATTTCATTTCCAAAACCAAGCTCCTTTCACACGCTTGGCCGTGCTGACTCCAGGGCCCGGGAGAAGGCGGGGATTTCAGCGTGTTATATTAGAGATATGAAAATAAAATTGAGTTCTGTAGGATCATAATAAATGAAAAGTGTTTCCTGGGGGCAAGATGAGGGAGCAAGCTGATTGAGAGAGCGCAGGACCCTGGACAGTGACAGGAATCCAGGTGCGGGCTTCTGCAGAGAGACACAAGCTTGTGGAACAGTCCACATGGTCAAGACCAGATGCCCCCTAGTGTCCTCCCCAGCTCCTTCTGCTGGGTGCAAAGTCACTCTACAACTCCTCTAAGCTTCGACCACCCCTCTCCTTGAAACTGACTTAGTTGAGTGCCACTTGCTGTCCCCAAAGACAAAACCTGACCAGCCAGAGGAACCATCTGGAATAACGTCAGTTCATGAGAAAGGCTGACTTGAGAGCTGCTCACTGAGTCACTTCCATTCAGTAGGTTTGGGATCATGCATGTTCACGTTTGCAACTAAGGTTGATCAGATCCCTTAACAGTAGTACTCAGAAAAATCAAGACATACTGCATTTGGAAAGCAGGCTGTAAAGGAACTTTTCAAAGTGCTGAGGGGCAATGATGTCAGCTTGAAGACTAAGGTGCATCTGATTCAGGCAATGGCCTTTTTCAGTCACTTGTTATGGATGACCAAAGGGACAGTTACGGGTCGGTTCTTACTTGATGACACACAACAACAACAGTCCTACCGGTGTGTCTTTCACATTCCAGGCCTTTAGTGGACGTATGAGGGGTAATGGGCTTGAGGACACCAGGAATAGGGAGGGTGGTGCAGACCAGGATAGAGCTTAAGTCTGTTGTTCACTGGGTTGCTACAAATCATGGTCCACTTCATGGCACCTAACAGCAGCAATAATAAGAGACGTATTATTATTGGAGCAAGGATTTGAGTCAGTACTTCCAAGTTCAGTCATAACTAACAAAGCAAAACTGAAAGACTAGACTTTATTAAATATAAGTGAACCAGAATAGTAAACAGACCATGAAGATACCCTCCTAGAAACGTAATTTCTGTTAGGAAAAAAAAAATGGCAACGTGTGTCTTATCTCCCAACCAAATCTCTTCACCAGCAGAACCTTTCAAAACACCAATCAAAGACAAGCAGCCAAGTGGGCCTGCAGAGTGTGTGTGTTGCTAATTCACCTTTCTGGCACTCAGCCAGTTTCCCACACCAGGCTCCTGAAAGGGCTCCCTCATTATGTCTCTTCTGAGTCTCTTATTCTTCAGCCCATTAGTTTTCCCCACGTTGGAGAAACTCAGCAGGATGTATAGCTTAACTCCTCCAAGATCCAGTTCAGGATCATCCAGTGAGCATTTACTGATCACCGGCTATTTGCAAAGCTCATTGTAGGCAATGACCAGAAAGTCAAATAAAATTCCAATCTAGTGGGAGGATCCATTGTTACAACATAAAGTGGGCCATGCAAGGTCAAGTTCACCCAAGACAAACATTCTGCCCTTGACTACCTTCTTACTTTTGATACCATCTTGTTCGTTGAGTGTCTCTCCTTGCAAATTGTACCACAAGCACTGAGGGCAGGAACTGCCTGTCTTGTTCACCACTGAATCCCAAACGCCTAGCAAGGTGCCCAGTACAATTCAACAGGCATTCTGTAAGTACATGCGGAGTAACAACTGTTTTGCTGCTATTTCAGAATCCAGCACTGGACTGCTTTGGAAACCACCTCCAGACTCCTGGACTACCAAGTAGGATTCTTAATGGGCCCAGAGCCAGAATCCCCAGAATATCTGCTAATCCTTTGATGCCAAGTCTGATCGTGACAGGAGGTGGGGACAAGCTGCAATATAGTCAGGAGAGCTTTCACCTGCTGGGCAGAGACTGTTGTTGTTGTTGTTGTTGTTGCTGTGTGCTGTCAAGTCACCTGCGACTCATAGCAACACTACTTACAACAGCGCTAAACCCTGCTCTATTCTGAGCCAATTTCATTGTCTCCAATACCCCTATCTCCATTACCCTAGTCACCTGGTCAATTCATGTAATTCAAGGTCATCCCCTCCTGTGTTGTCCCTCCACACTTCCAAGCATGACGTCCCTCTACAAAGACAGGCCCCTCCTTGGAACATGTGCAAAGTATGTCAGACAAAGCTTCAGAATCCTTGCCTCCGAGGAGCAGTCTGGTGTCACCCTCTTCAAGTTGAACTTGTTTGTTCTCCTAGCAGTCTACATTATACCCACTTAATTGAACACTATGTACTAACAGAATGAGTTGGAGGCCTACAGGATATTAAAGCAAAAAGACAGTACAGGGTTTCCCGTTCAACACTCCACAGGGGACATGAGAGTAAATAAACCAAGACGTTTGCTTTTGTCTATGTGTGTCTGTATGTATATAAACCAGCCAAGAACTGGGTCCAACTCATAGTGACGACTTATACTAAAGAATGCATCTGCTCTGGATTTTTCTCTGATGGAGCTCTGATGGCCTAGTGGGTAAGGAGTTGCTCTGCCAGCCCAAAGGCGAGCAGTTCAAATCCATCAGCTGCTCTGCAGGAGAGAGATGGGCAATCTCCCCTCTTGCAATGTATGTTGTTGTTATGTGCTGTCGAGTCACCTGCAACTCATAGCGACCCTATGGACAACAGCCCTAAACTCTGTTCTGTCCTGTGCCAATCTCATTGTTTCCGACACACTCATCCCGATTACCCCAGCCACCGAATCAATCTATCTCCTAGATGTATAGTCTCTGGAAACTAGCTAGAAGGTCAGCTACAAGCTGTTTCACTTGAGAGCACAGAGTTGTCCACTAGTAAGGAATTTTGTTGGCTGTAACCCTTTTGCCAGGCTTGCTTCCACAGTGCCACCAGGTGGATTCAAACCACCAACCTTTAAGCTAGTATTTGTGCAAACCATTTTTTGCCACTTGGGGATCTTCAGTGCAAGCACACTGGAAGAACTCCAGTGTTCAAGTGAACTCCAAGTTGGCCAACCTCAGGGAAGGGGGGCGCTGTTTTTGGCGTGGAAGGACGAGAACAGTTGCTGTGCACAGCTGAGCTGAAAGCCCACAGCTGACTCTCCATCAGGTTTTCAGAGGCAGTTAATAGCATGTGAGTCAACTGCCCATCTTTTTTCGGTTGAGCAGCGGGTGGATTTGAACTGCTGGCCTTTGGGATTGCAGTGCAACTTCCCAGCAAGCCATCAGTGTGGCTGGTAATAGCCAGGAAGGAAGAGTGGTGTAAGTCATGGCAGATAACTCATCCACACCTTGTAACCACCGCTTCCAGGCCAACAAACTCAAAAAGCTTGGGGCCAGACCAGGAGGAGGAGCACGGAAAGGGCCCAGGAGTCTGAAAGCTGTGTTTGTTTATGTTAGGGAGGAAACAATGGGTGGCGTGCAACTGTGGCCAGGGTATCTGGTTGTCACCTTTGCTCCAGAGCCCCAAGCCAGCCACCTTACACACGTGAAGGTTCAATATGTACGTGTTGACTGAACTAAGTGAAAGAATTCACGGCCATCGAGGATATGGAACATCCCCACCCAAGCCACCCCTGCAGGTAATGCTACCTGGCACAGGTGTCACCTCAGGGCCCGGATTTGTCTCCAAGGCCCCACCCTTCGGTTCTAGCCGCGAGCGTCCAATCGCTCAGCTCCTGGACGAGGCCACCAGGATGCAGGCGGGTGGGGCTTGGCGCCTCCACTCCCGGATCCCGTAGCCTCTCTCCAATCCAGGGCCGCAAGGACCCGGAGGGAAGGCCCCTCCCCAAGACGGGCACCAGATGGCGCGGGAGAGAGTGGCACCGGGAGAGGCCGGCGTGCGGGGAGCGGCGCGCACCTGGTGGGCGGCGCGGTGGCGGCGCGGCGACAGTTCAGCCGGCTGCGCGCCCCCCGCGCCTCCCTTTCTGCGCGCACTGACGCAGGGACTTGGGGACGCGAGCCCGGGGCTGGTGGCCGCTCGGGCGACCCTGCCCGCCTGGCCGGCGCCTCGGCCTCACCTCGCTCACCAGCCCCTGCCAATCGCTCTCGGTCCGGTCGCCGTTCATGGTCTCGGTCTTCGTGCGCGCGCTGGCCGCACCGAGGCCGGCTTCCTCTTCCT